CATGTTGGCCAGGATGGTCTCCATTTCTTGACCTCATGATCCACCCACCTCGGCCTCCCAAAGTGCTGGGATTATAGGCGTGAGCCACTGCACCAGGTGGAAACAGAAATGTTTTGGAAGACAGGGACCTGGTAATCCCTTTTCACCCAACAAGAACCAAGCCCTGGATGAATGGATGAGTAGCCCACGTTTTTCTGCCCCCTCTCCCTGGTCTTTCTGAGACTAACTTTGCCCTAGGAATTGTTTGTCCCTCTGGAAGTTAGATTGGTATGTGGGTGTTCCTCAGAGCCCTGGTGATGGGGAATTAGGAAGCAAGTGCTTGAACTAAAGCCGTTTGTCCTAATTCACTGATATCTGGGGCAAAAGCTTGCCCCTCTCTGTGAAAATGAAATGAAAATCTTTTTATTTTCCTAGAGCTCAAGGTCAGACCCCAGCACAGTAGGGACCCAAGCAGTGCACTGTTCCTAAGTCCTAACTCATACCATTGCCCTGGAGGCTCTTGAAGCTGGTAGCTAGAGAGAACAGAGAGTTCTCAGAGGAAAAGAGCAGCCAGGTTGCTCATTTGTTTTAAATTATTTAGTTGCATCAAATATTCAGATTGGTGGCAATAGCAACTCTATTTAAAAACTCTAAGCACGTGATGGATGAACTCAATGTTTTCAGACAGTTATCGGCTTCCAGCCTACCCTCCAGGAATCTTCTAAGAGTCACCTGGGCTTGCCTGGGTCAGCCTCCAACTACGGGGACCAGCTGAACTGCAAGAGCTACACAATGCCAATGAAGATATTTGGCATATGTTTTTCATGTAAAGGAATTTCATCATGTCCCATACATCACCTCCTAGAGAAAAAAGATATTCAGCTTAGGAAGTCAGAACTGGGATGTTTGTATAGAAGGCATGCTTTTCGTGTAGGTGGGTTGTGTGATTTTGTTTCCATGGGCTCATGCCTGTGAAATATGCAGTGTGTGTTTTTCTGAGGTTTTCTGTGTATGAAGCTGCTGCTCTTCTCACAAAGCTCATCATTTTAGGCGAGACTGAATGTGACACTCAATGAAGTTGCTTTGGAGCCCAAGATGCATGCCCTAATACAACCACTTTTATTGAATGCTTCCTACATTCCAGAGATTTTATCTATATGCTTTACATTATATTAGATAACATCTTTACTCAAAAATAATAAGGCAGGTATTATCACTCCTATTTTATAACTAAGAAAAGTAAGACTCACAGATATTGTCCAAAGTCACATCAAGGTTCAGCTTATTTCAAGCCCTGAGTTTTGTTTCATCATACAACAATATCTATCCTCTGGCAAGTTTCTAGGACTACCCTACATAACATCTGCTGTGCTGTCAAAACGTGAGATGATACTTCTTCCTCTATAATGATAATCTCTGGGGGGAGGGTGTGTGGCAACGGGAATGTAGGAGGGGAGCTCTTTGTCTGCTCTTTGGAAGCAGATAAAGTTCTATTTCTTCCTTTTGGTAGTGGTTTCACAGGTATGTTCACTTTGTGATAAATCACCGGGTGGATACATAAGATTCAGGATTTTTTGTTGTTATATTTCTTTTTTTTTTTTTTTTTTTTTTTCTTCCTTTCTTCCTTTCCTCTTTTTTTTTTTTTTTTTTTTTTTTTTTTTTTTTTTTTGAGATGGAGTCTTGCTCTGTCACCGAAGCAGGAGTGCAATGGCATGACCTTGGCTCACTGCAGTCTTCACCTCCTGGGTTCAAGCTATTCTCCTGGGTCAGTCTCCCTAGTAGCTGAGATTACAGGAGTGTGTTACCATGCCTGGCTGATTTTTATATTTTTAGTGGAGACAAAGTTTTGCCATGTTGGCCAGGCTGGTCTCGAACTCCTGATCTCAAGTGATCTTCCTGGCCTCAGCTTCCCAAAGTGGTGTTTGTTATATGTCAATAACAGGTTTATTTAAAAAATTATTTCTCCATGCTGGGTGTGGTGGCTCAAACCTATAACGCCAGCATTTTGGGAGGCTGAGTGGGCAGATCTCTTGAGGCCAGGAGTTTGAGACCAGCCTGGCCAACAAGGTGTAATGCCATCTCTACAAAACAACAACAACAACAAAAATTAGCAGACATGGTGGCACATGCCTGCAGTTCCAGCTACTGGGGAGGCTGAGATGGGAGGATCACCTGAGCCTAGAAGGCAGAGGTTGCAGTGAGCTGAGATCACACCACTGCATTCCAACCTGGGTGACAGAGTGAGATCCCACCTCAAAAAAACTCATTTATCCTAGCAGTTAATGTTGGAGGGGAGGCCTGCTTTTCATGGAAAATAGGCACTGATTAATCAATGGGAACTCCTTGGACTCTACCATATAGTAATTTTTTAAATAATGCAAATAAGTTGTTGCCTTCCCTCTTTACAAAAAGAGTTTTAAGTGGATCACAATAAAACATCACACACAATTATAAAGTAATATTAGGAGGAGGTTGTTAGCACTATCTAAGTAGAAAAACTTTCCTTACATACATATGTCAGTCTGCTGGGCACCACAGGAGGTTAAGGGTGGCTACTGTTCCCAAGGTACTCACACAGCCAAGCTGATGACACTGAGCCTTTACTAGTAGTAAATAGACACTTGTCTTTAAATATATTGGAATTTGTTGAGATGGGTTTCCACTCTCAATTTGGTGATCAATAAACTCAAAGAAAGTAAAAGTTTTCATGGACTACATCCTACATTTCATGTGTGGATAATTGAAATGGAAAATACCACATCTAATCAATATTTTGAATAATCTGAGCTCCCAATCTTAACACTTTCAGAATGATTATTTATACCTTTTTAACATGGTATAAACTTGGAGAGACCCACAGATCTAGTCACCAAGACAATTTTGTCATTGATTTGTAATTATGTTCCTCTGCTTGCATGATTTTTTTTTTTTTTTTGAGGCAAGGTCTTGCTTTGTTGCCCAGGCTAGAGTGCAGTGGTGGGATCTTGGCACACTGCAGCCTCTGACTCCCAGATTCAAGCAATTCTCCTGCCTCAGCCTCCTAAGTAGTTGGGATCACAGGTGCACACCACCACACCCAGCTAATTTTTGTATTTTCAGTAGAGACAAGGTTTTACCATGTTTGCCAGTCTAGTCTCTTACTCTTGACCTGAAGTGATCCACCTGCCTTGGCCTCCCAAAGTGCTGGGATTACAGGTGTGAACCACCACGCTCTGCCTTGCATTCACTTTTTACTGGGTGAGATTTACAACATCAAATAGCACAGAACTTCTTCTAGTTTACTTCAAACTGTGATGGCTTTAAAACTTCTATACTGGAGGAGTTGCTATACATTTTTCTCCTTCTCTATATCCCAGGAAATCAGAGACCTGGAGGGAGAAGACACATGGGCTGTCAAATCTACAGACCTGCTTCCTTCAATAGCTGATTTTCTTTCTTTTGTGTCAGAAGCAGGCAGCATAGGACAGAGCCATGCATCTAAAACTTTATTGGGCATATTTATTCCTAGATATCTTGTTAAAACGAAGATTCAGTTTCAGCTAGTCTAGGGTCAGGGCTGAGATTCTATTTTCTATTGTAATAAGTTCCCAGGTAATGCCAATGCTGCTGGTCCATGGACTGTACACTTTGATGAGAAGTTTAGTAAGGATATAGAGGAAAGAATACTGGCCAGGTGTTGTGGCTCACACCTGTAATCCCAACACTTTGGGAGGCCAAGGTGGGCAGATCATGAGGTCAGGAGATCGAGACCAAGCTGGCCAACATGGTGAAACCCTGTCTCTACTAAAAATATAAAAAATTAGCTGGGCGTGGTGGAGCACAGCTGTGACCCCAGCTACTTAGGAGTCTGAGGCAGGAGAATCACTTGAACCCAGAAGGCAGAGGTTTCAGTGAGCCCAGATCACACAACTGCACTCCAGCCTGGTGACAGAACAAGACTCCATCTCAAAAAAACAAAAACAAAAAACCCCCAAAAAACCAAAACAAAAAACACTACACATGGAGTAGTAATTTCTGGCTTTTAGAAGCAGCTCTGCCACTTACCAGCTTGCCTTCTTGGACAAGTCATTTTGCGTCTCTGGATTTTAATTTCCTTAAATATAAACTGTGTGATAAAGGAGGAGTTTGGGCTAGGTTATTTCAAAGCTTGCATTCATAGACTCTTCAAAGTGATGTTTTGAATAAGAAACTCCACCCATAGGGTCACATACAGCCTTTTAAGTGACTAACAGGTGAACTGGCATTATCAAAGCAGAAAATATAAGGGCTGGATCAGGAAGGCATGACTAGGTCAGATAAAGGAAAGGTGAGCCATAATAACTTCTTATGACAAATATAAGGCTTTGATTCTTTCAGAGTGATGGATTTTGAATTAAAATTGTTATCCTGAGAGAGGCTACTATTTTTCTCAACAACCGTCTTAAGGGGGGACCTGCATTAGTGACAACTGAGTTGCATAAGAAACTTCAGTGAAGGAAGCATTGGATGTGTTAGAACTTTGAAATAAGCAAATGCTTACAGGGGCTATGAGTGAGTCATGGCTGGAGAGAAGCGTTCTGGAGCCATGAGGGAGTCTGGTTTGAAAATAGCAGTTCATCTCTGCTGCAAACCATTTCTCTAATTTCAGTCAAGTTGGCCAGGAATTCGGGTCTTTGGCCACTGCTAGCAGACGTAACACGGACAAATGCAATCTCCTACAGGGGTTAGGAGGGCAAAGGTGACAGGGGGCATACAGGGGCATAAATAGGCAAGGAGAAGGAGGGGGTGAAAAAGGAACACAGATGACTTAAATGAATGAATGAAGCTTCTGACCATCTGAGCCTCTGGCGGCAGCCTTTCCCCAAGAGCTCACACATCTCTATTTTGAGCAGCAAACAGAATCAGACAGAAAGGGCTCCCCAGACTCGCAGATACAAGCTAGTTTCTCATTACATCCTAAAGCAACGTTAGGGAAGTGGAGAAAACTCCTGGTGCTGGCCCCTCTCCCAGCGTTAGGTTGGGAGAATCCAGGAAATATTTACCTTATGCAGGACGTGCTCGTTGAAGTCAGGGCCAGCTCCTCCCTGGTAGGAATCGGGTCTCTGCAGGTCCATGCCCGGCTTGGAGCTCGCCGCTCCGGCTCTCCCTGCGCTCTGCGTCAGCGCTTGCAGGAGCTGGGTCCGAGCTCCGCTGGGTGCAGCAGGCTCGGGTCTGAGCCCTGCGGGCCCGGCCGCATCCGTGTTCAGCACTGGACAGTTCCCCGCAGTGGCCGCGGCGCGGTACCAGGCGGGCGGGCGGGCGGCCGCGCTCTTCCAGGGCCGAGCGTTTCAGCACCACGAACAGCGACTCCGCTGCAGTGCACCTGGGACCAGAGTTCTGAGAGCCTGTGCGCTCCAGTCCCCGCGTTTTAGGACTCCAGGATGCTGGCCGGTACGCAAGATTTGAGTCCAGCTGGTGATCCCTGCGTATTTCATTCAGCTGCCGAACTCCGGAGGCTCAGCGATCCGGCTGCGTTCTCAGGGCATTGCGGTCCCGGGAGCTCACCGTTCCTGATTCCCGGCGAACTGGCATCTCCGTCACCACGCAGCTCAGCGCCGCGCAGCTGTCCTCACATGTTTGCAGAGGCGAAGTCCTGCGGCGCTGGCGGCGCTGCTGTTTTTGTCCCTGGACAATTCTCTCCAGGATGTATGAGATAAGCAGAGGTTCTAAGGCCGAGGTCGACAGACGCTGGGTCTTAGATGTCCCGGAAGTCCCCGAAATACGCAAAATTACCTGCCTTTTCCTAGGGAGAAGGTCCAGAGCTTTAATCGCACTCTCTCCAGTACACGTGACCCCAGAAGGTAAGAACGATGGACTCAGGAGAGGCAGTTGGTGATTTGGTTAGGAACACAGGCCCCAGAATTCAAATCTTGTCTCTGAAAATTATTAGTTGTGTAACCCTGAGCAAATTACTCAATCTCTCCTAAGTGTCCACAAAATGGAGATAATATTATAATAGTACTTGCCTCATGGTTTTGTTCTGAGGATTTAATGAGTTAATTCACCTGAAAAGCCTAGAACAATGCCTGGCATGTACTAAGAACTCAATAAGTGTGAGCTACCATGCTCTCTGGGAAGGAGATGGAGAGTGGCTACTCCCCCTAAACATCAGGGGAGTTCTTCTGCTGGGATCTTCGATTGGCAAAATCGCATCATCGCCTGGAATATGAGAGTATGAGGGTGACCACCATGGGAACTGGAGGCTGAGGTTGTGGTGTGTGGGGTTATTGTAAGATTACTAAGGACAAGTCCTAGTACCACCTACCGGTCCGTGGAGTCAGTATCAACATGGAAGGAAAGAGCCAGGCTTAGGGTTAAAAGCGTACATTTTACTCCTGGGTTTCACTCCTTTTTGACTGAGTTGTGTGAGCCAGATCACTCATGTTTCATGGGATTACTTCTGTTTTCTCATCTGCAAAATAGGTAATCTATGCCCACTTGACTGGGTTTGGGGGAAGAGGGAGACAATGTATGTGAAAAGTCTTCCTTTTCTTTTAAATTGTAAAGCAAATTTCATTTATAAGGTATTATTATTGCTGGAATCACTATATTGTAGATACTCAATGGATATTAATTAATTGAACAAAGCTAGGGAACCAATGTGTTGTTTTATGAGCTTCTCACTGGGCCTACATTACATACCATCCAACGGTTGGGGTTCTTAATGTGAGGTGAATAAATGGATGTTAGGGGAACTTTGGAACATTAATAACATTACACAAAGTTTTGCTTCTGTGCCTTTTTCTGGGGGAGAATAAATCTCCAGAAGAAGAAATGAATCCCACAGATTTCATTAAGTTCTCAAAGTTGTCTGTACTAAAAAAAAGTACAGAAAGAATACCTTAGGCTCTTTCATCTCAACTTTCTCCTGAGCTTCCTCACCAACCCTGACTACTATAGATAAGAAGGTTCTACAGCCTTTGTCTGGAACCTCACATTCCTTGGAAGGGTCATTCCTCAGGGTCTGGTTTGGAGTTCGGAAGGTTCAGAAACATTATTTCATCTGTTTGTTCAGGATTATAGAGCAAATAGCAGAGGATCCTCAACCAATCTAGAGTTGATGATGGAAGATTTCCATGAGAAATGATGTTTAAACTGAGATCTGAAGGAAAAGTGGGCATTAGTCAAAGAGGGTGGTAGCAGTGGGGTGATTCCAGGCAAAGCAATCAGCACATACAAAGGCTTTAAGGTATGAAAAGCTGAGAAAAGACCAATGTGGCTGGAGTCCTGAGGAAGAGGGGAGGGGGATAATGAGAGACCTAGTCTGGAGAGGTAGGTAAGGACCACATCATGTGGGTCATGCTAAGGGTTTTGAACCTCATTCTAAGAGCAATGTGAAGCCATTGAAGGACTTTAAGTAGGGAAATGACATGGCTAGATTTGGGTTTCAAAGATACTACTTTGGCTACAGTATAGAGAATGAATTAAGTCAAGAACAAATGTGCTCTTTTATGGATTTATAAAATCTATTTTTATATTATGGGCATTAATCCTTTATGTCATAAATACTGCATTATTTTTATAGATTTATTTCCTTCCTTCCTCTTCTCCTCTCCTCTCCTCTCCTCTCCTCTCCTCTCCTCTCCTCTCCTCTCCTCTCCTTTCCTTTCCTTTCCTTTCCTTTCCTTTCCTTTTTTTCTTTCCTTTCTTTTTGACACAGTTTCACTCTGTCACCCAGGCTAGAGTGCAGTGGCACAATTAAAGCACACTGTAACCTTGATTTCCTGGGCTCAAGCGATCCTCACACCTCAATCCTCTGACTAGCTGGGATAACAGGTGTATAACACCATGCCTGGCTAATTTTTGTATCTTTTGTAGAGACAGTGTTTTGCCACATTGCCCAGGCTTGAACTCCTGGGCCTAAGCGATCTTCCTGCCTCAGCCTCTCAAATTGTTGGGATTACAGGTGTGAGCTACTGTACTTGGCTGTAGATTACTTTTCAATGATTAACTTTGTTTGTACTTTTATTATACTGTATTAAAGTTTTTAATCTTTAAGTTTGGGCAAGCATGAGTAGGCATTAACTAGGCAGAAGAGACCATCAGAAGGCATATTGTTAAGTGTGAACCCCAAATATCTGAGACAGCTCTCAGTCAATTTAGGAAGTTTATTTTGCCAAAGTTAGGGACACACACCATGACACAGCCTCAGGAGGGCCTGATGACATGTGTCCAAGGTGGTTGCGGGGCAGCTTGGTTTTATATATTTTAGGGAGACTTGAGACATCAATCAATGTATGTAAGATGTACACTGGTTTGGTCTAGAAAGGCAGGACAACTCGAAGTGGGGAGGGAGCTTCCTGGTCAGAGGTAGATAAGAGAGAAATGTTTGTATTCTTTTGAGTTTCTGATTAGTCTTTCCAAAGGAAACAACCAGATATGTATCTATTTCAGTGAGCAGAGGGATGACTGAATAGAATAGGAGGCAGGTTGCCCTAAGCAGTTCCCAGCTTGACTTTTCCCTTTAGCTTAGTGATTTTGGGGTCCCAAGATTTCTTCTTCCTTTCACATGAGCAAACAATAAAAGTAAAGGAAAGTAGGTATTCTTTAGAGAACGTATCAGTGAAATAATGATACTATTACTTTAGAGTTACATGTTGTGAGTTCCTATTCTTTTAAATTTGTTAAGATGTTTTGGAAGGACTATCTTAGTGAGTGTTTTAGGTGAAGTTGAGAAGAATGTGTGATTTGTTATTGTTGGATAGAGTATTCTATAAATGCCAATCAAATCGAGTTGATTGATAGTGTTCTTCAAGTCAACTATATCCTTTATGGATATTCCTGCTAGATCCATCAGTTACTGACAGAGGGTTCTGAATTCCCCATCTCTACAGTGGCTTTGTCTTTTTCTCCTTTTATGTTTATTTGTTTTTGCCTTACGTATTTTGACACTGTTGTTAGGTGCATGTACATTTCTTGGAGAACTCATTCCCTTTGCCATTATGTAGGGTTCCTATTTATTTCTAACAATTTTCCTTGTTCTAAGTCTTCTTTGTCTGAAATTAACATCACTACTCCAGCTTTCTTTTGATCAATGCATTGTATAACTTTTTTCATTCCTTTATTTTTAAACTTTGGAGTCTTTTATTTAAAGTATATTTCTTGTAGGCAGCATATAATTGGGTCTTGTTCTTTTATTCCCTCTGACAATCTCTGTCCTTTAATTCGTGTATTAAGTTATTCATATTTAAAGTGATTGTTAATATATTTGGAATAATATTGGCCATATTTATTACTGCTTTTTATTCATTTTCACATGCTACTGCTGCTGTACTGTCTGAGCAATTTATAATTTTAATTATAAATTTTTTTTTTTTTTTTGAGATGGAGTTTCACTCTTGTTACCCAGGCTGGAGTGCAATGGCGCAATCTCGGCTCAGCGCAATCTCAGCTCACCGCAACCTCCGCATCCTGGGTTCAGGCAATTCTCCTGCCTCAGCCTCCTGAGTAGCTGGGATTACAGGCATGTGCCACCATGCCCAGCTGATTTTTTGTATTTTTAGTCGAGATGGGGTTTCACCATGTTGACCAGGATGGTCTCGATCTCTTGACCTCGTGATCCACCCGCCTCGGCCTCCCAAAGTACTGGGATTACAGGCGTGAGCAACCGTGCCCGGCCAATTATAAAATATAAAAAATTATCTTCTTTCAGAATATCAGTAAAAAATTCTTCTTAAAAAGTTTTAGGCCAGGTGCAGTGGCTCATGCCTGTAATCTCAGCACTTTGGGAGGCTGAGGTGGGTGAGATCAGGAATTTGAGACCAGCCTGTCCAACATGGTGAAACCCTGTCTCTACTAAAAATGAACAAATTAGCCAGGTATGGTGGTACGTGCCTGTAATTCCAACTACTCAAAAGGCTGAAGCAGGAGAATCACTTGAACCCGGAAAGCAGAGGTTGCAGTGAGCCAAGATTACACCATTGCACTCCTGCCTGGGCAACAAGAGTGAAACTCTATATCAAAAAAAAAAAAAGAAGAAGAAAAAATTTGAGCAGTTCTCTTTAGAGTTTACAGTATATTCTTGAATCTAAACTAAGTCTACCTTCAAATAACACTATTTCTGCTTCATGTGTAGTGCAGAAACCTTAAAAACAGTATTCCTGATTTCTCCCTTCCAGCCTTCTGACATTGCTATCATTTATGTCACTTACCCACATGCTGTAATCACTAAATACTGGCTACTATTGTTACTTTAAACAATTATCTGTTATATCAAATAAGAATCAGAAAAATAAGATTTTATTTGACTTTCATTTACATCTTATCTGACAGCTTTCTTAGCTTCATGTAGATCCAAGTTTCTTTTTTTTTTTTTGAGACGGAGTTTCACTCTTGTTACCCAGGCTGGAGTGCAATGTCGCGATCTCGGCTCACCACAACCTCCATCTCCTGGGTTCAGGCAATTCTCCTGCCTCAGCCTCTTGAGTAGCTGGGATTACAGGCACGCACCACCATGCCCAGCTAATTTTTTGTATTTTTAATAGAGACGGGGTTTCACCATGTTGACCAGGATGGTCTCGATCTCTTGACCTCGTGATCCACCTGCCTCGGCCTCCCAAAGTGCTGGGATTACAGGCTTGAGCCACCGTGCCCGGACCAGATCCAAGTTTCTGATATGTATCACTGTCCTGCTTGAAAAAAAAAAACCTTCTAACATCTCTTGCAAGAAAACTCAGCTAATGTCAAATTACTCAGTTGTTTGTCTGATAGTGTCTATTTCTTCTTCTTTTTTTTTTTTTTTTTTCCTGAGATGGAGCCTTGCTCTGTGGCCAGGCTGGAGCGCAGTGGCCCAGTCTCGGCTCACTGCAACCTCTGCCTCTCAGGTTCAAGTGATCATTCTGCCTCAGCCTCCTGAGTAGCTGGGACTACAGGTGTGCGCCACCACACCTGCCTACTTTTTTTTGTATTTTTAGTAGAGACAGGGTTTCACCACGTTGGCCAGGATGGTCTCGATCTCTTGACCTTGTGATCCACCCGCCTTGGCCTTCCAAAGTGTTGGGATTATAGGCGTAAACCACCATCGGCTTCTTCACTTTTTTGAAGAGACGGGATCTTGCTATGTTGCCCAGGCTGGAGTGAAGTGGCTATTCACAGATAGACTTACAGTACACTGCAGCCCAAAATTCCTGGGCTCAAGTGATCCTTCTGCCTCTTCCCAAGTAGCTGGGACTACTGGTGCATAGTACCATGCCTGGATAATTTTTAAATTTTTTTGTAGAGATGAGGTCTTGCTATGTTGCCTAGGCTGATCTCAAACTTCTGGCCTCAAAGGAAACTCCCACGTCAGCTTCCCAAAGGGCTAACACTATAGGCACACAACACCATGCCCAATACTTCTTCGTTTTTGAAGGGTAATTTCCCTGGTTGTGGAATCCTAGGTTGGTGACTTTTCCTTCTGACACCTTAAATATTTTACACTACTGTCTTTTTGCTTGCATACTTTCTAAGTTTTTTTTTTTAATTTTTATGGATACATACTAGTTGTATATATTTGTGGGGTACATGTGATATTTTTATATATGTGTACAATGTGAGTGAGCAAATCAGGGTAGTTGGGATATCCATCACCTTAAACATTCATCATTTATT